TAACGGTCAAAAAATCAATTATCAAAATTCCTATCAAACAAACACTTTGTTGAAAGCTAATTTTTTAAGTAAGATTGATTTTTTGAAGCTAATCCCGACTTAGACTACAGTGGAAGAGGTACCGTGTCTTGCATCATGACGAAGAACTCAAATTCAGGATTCGTAATTTGAGTCATCAAGCAAAGAAAAAATTCTTCCTTAAAATTAGGGGTGGAGGATCTACCCCTAGTTAAAGTAAAAACCAAGGGAAAGAAATTTCCCTAGTTTTCGCACAAGTCAGGTGCAATAAGTGACCAACATTTCATTGCGGTTCGGTTGGCAAAGATGGGAACGATATGTTAGGGTAGTGGTCTTGTGGGTGGTTTCGGCGTTTGGCTTCATTTTTAATTTTGAATGATCTTAATTTTTTATTCTTAAAAATGGTTGATTTTAGTCAAACTTCAAATTTACGGACGAAATCATTCAAATCAGCTGCTTATTTTTTCAAACATTAGGGATTATGCTGCCAAAAAATAAAAGGTGCGGGACTAATTTGTACTTTATGAAAAGGTGGAGGATACAAACCGGGAGAATTGTTTCTATCCCGTTACCAATAGAAGCAACCTTTAATTACATACGATGTCGTCGACCAAAATGGCATATTCCATTATCCTAAACGTTTTTCTCTGTATTTGGTCTTCTTCTTCAACCTTCATTCTCAGATTTTCCGACATCCTTCTCTCTCTCTAACCTCAGATCTCAAATTTCAAAAAAAAAAAAAAAACCTACCTTTACTCAATTAATCATGGCGAATTCTGGTATTCTTCAGACAGAGCAAGATCATCTTATGTTCTCGTCTCTATTTCACGATTCAAAAGGTTCAATTTTTGTATTTCCTTTTATTAATTTTTCTTTTCTGAACAATTGTTTATGCTTGTAGATTAATTCTTTCCGTCTATGTCATGTATCCTGTACTTTTTTTTTTAATTCAGTTTATCTATGCTGTTAATTAATATATTTTGGGGGTTCCGGAGTATCTTAATGCTAATATTTTTGGTAAAATCCTGTGAATCACAGCTAGAAAATGGTTGCAGGTGAAAATATTAAGTCTCGGAAAACAGAGATTGAGAAAAAGATCGAATTTCTCGAGAGCTTGTCTGGAAAAGTAATTTCTCAATTCTCTCTATTTTCAGAAGGGTTCAATTTACTAAATTGACAAGTCAAAGTTTTCTGTTCTGTAAAAATAATTAAATGTAGCTCAACAACAAAACCAAACAAAGTCTTATGGGAAGATCTATTGGATCTTAGCAAATCCTCTATCGAAATCTTTTTACTCTTACGGACATGAGCTCCTTTAGGACTATGTGAAACATATAATAGTTGGTACTGATGTTAAATGCCTGGCTACAGGTCAGCAATAGGAGATCTCGTAGATGGGTAAATGATCGTTTGTTGATGGAGCTTGTCCCCCCTTTGGATGCAGATGAAATCAGAGGATTGTTTGCTCCACCGCCATGGGGTAAGTTGTGTTTTGGAGAGACATGATTTCTTCGAATCACAAGTATCAAAGCAAACAAGATACTGTTGCAACATACTCATGACTTTAGAAAGACTATACATTTGATTGAAGTTCGAACTAAAACTTTTCCTGTCTAAGTAAAACACAAGACTAAGAGGGGCTTCTAATATTGTTTAAACTAACAAAGGAAAGTTTTCTAGATATCTTTTAGCAAATATGAAATTTTTGTGGTGCCAACAACTCTTTATATTACCCGGTCAATGAGCTATCATCATGATCACCATCTCCAATTTAGTTTGTTTGATTTTTATTCTTTGAAATTATTATTATTATTATTTGGTGAGTTTGTGGTTAAGAAGTAGAAAAAGTTACGTGGGAAATGATTTTTTTGAAGAATATGTGGTTAAAAATGAATCAGCCAAATTGTTATATTAAATAAAATAATAGATGATATCTGTGAAAATGGGGGAGAGAAGTGAATCTATAATCAAACAAGGGCTGAATCTCATTTTTACCGCTAACCAGTTATTACTGTATAACACGTTACAAGTAATTTCTCTATCTCTCAAATTATGTAACCTTGTACTCTCATAATATATTAGATTCAAGTTGTTGCAACTTAATCCCCCAAAGTTAGTTATTTGGAAATTAAATGAAATTGTAAAAGTAGATAGAATAAGGTGTTACTTTTTGGGTCGTCGGCATCTGGGACTTAAATGAGTAGTTTATAGTGTTTTATAAGGTGCATGCACGTGCGCACACACAAACATGAAATATTAATTGAACTGTAAGTCTATAAATACATTTGTGTACTATATAGACAGTACTTGTATCCATTTATATGTTACATATTCATCGTAATAGACGCTAACTTCTAAATTATGAATGACAAGATGGATGACCATTCACTGTAAAAGAAAGTCTTACTCTTGTGGACACGAGTGTGCCCCTATACTGTTATTTGCGCCAGTGAATAGCCCTTAACCGCCAAGCTTTCTATTAAAATTTTTTTGTCAACATTCCCATGCTTGAACATGATTTGTTTTAGTTTTACAGGTGATGATGTGCCACTTTCACCATTTTGCATGACAAATGTGGGAGAGTGGGATAAGTTCCGGAATATAGACATGGACAAGCAGGTTCTCACTTTTCTTGTTTGCTAAAGCATAGTATGTGGTCTTGAAACTGTTGGAATTTTTTTCCGAATGTACTTCACGAGGCTGAAAATTTTTAGTGCTATCGAACGGCTACTCACTCTGGATTTTATAGATTGTGATATATCACCATCCTACTTGTGCACCTCTACTGCAGCATTTTCTTTAGAATATTTAGTTATGATGGAGGTTAACAGAGAGTCAAAAATGATTCTTGAAAAGTTTGTTTTTTACATTAAATGGAGAATTCATATCGATGCAGGTGCTTATTGAGGAAGCAAAAAAATGGTTATCTTGAGGAACTAATAAGTGCCCTTTGCACCTTCCGAACTTATTTTGTCGCAAGATACATAAAATTAGCTTACTGCATGCTCAGAAGGGAAATTTAGTGTATCTTTGCAGGACATGCATTACTATGAGCCTCAATTGCTTAAAAACTAAATAGATGTTCATTTAGTTCCTCTAGTCCTTTTTCCAATTTTGGCAACTTAACATGTCGATATCTATATTGCTGTTGGCATGTGGCATGAGGACATGCTTATATTCTCTAAGATCTTTGTTTGGTTCTTCTAGGATTCCATTATAGCGTCCCTCGAAGACTCATGTGGAGAGCGGAGAAGCCATCTAGATGCTGATAAAGTTGCTGTACTGACTGCATGGCATAGGGTTGATTGTAGAACTAGAGATGCACTTCGTCGTTCTTTTCTTTCAGAATTGAGTAATAGCTATGAGGTACTTGAAATTTATTGCTAGTCAATATCCATGATTCTAATGTTTCTACTTCTCATAAATACGAATTAAATGTTGGGAAAGCATGAAAATGATCTACTGACATAATGAATTTTTTTTCCTTGTATATTATTCTCACTTTGTTTCCCTAGTAACATTGGTATCATGTTTTTTAGGAACGTGTACGATCATTCATCAAGGGGAGTCAGGATGGAGATGTTCTTGTACTACAAGTTCAAGATCCTTTCCATCGGTTACTACTGCATGGTGTTTGTGAGGTATATCTTCCAATTCAAGTTTTGTAACGTTCAAACTCAGCCCTGAGGGCAGAAATTGATTATTTCGTCCAAAATTTTCAGTTTGTTTATCTTGAGCTTTTTATCTTTTTTACTTAAAAAGAAAAAAATTAATACATCGAAGGACCTGTTTGACAGAAACTTTTGCTTTTTTTAGAAGAGCTCCCTGAATAAGCTACTTTGGGCATTTCTACCATTTAAAGCACTGCAAGAAAATTATCGTGCAAAAACAACTTTTTATTCTCAAAAGCAGCTTTGGCCTTTTAAAATCCTGGCAAACGGTCCCAGATATGTTTCGAAACATAAAAGTTACTCAAAAGTATATTTATACTTAGCTAATCATTCAACTAGTTTTTTGTTCAATATGCTGATCTCCACATATTTTTTCTACCTGAGGTCCTGTTGGCAGGGGGAATTGGTGTCTTTGAAATGGTTATAGCAGACGAGAATTTGATTTTATTTATTTATTTATTTATTTTTTTTCAAATGCCCGACTAAACTGCCTTTTTGACAGTTCTACAATTTGTGCTCGACAACGATCACCCAGTTGGAGGGTTCCAACTCCTTGAAGATGACTAGGATATGCAAGAAGAAAGTAAGTGCAGCCGAGCTTCCAAACATCACTCTCTCCAACTTCTTGAAGATGGCAAAAGAAGGGTTTTGGTGATTCATTTTGCCATAATTCAACCACGTTCTTAGACCAATCTGTAGATTATCTTAATTTACTTCAAACAATGTACTATTAGAACAACCTGTGCATTATCTTAATTTACTCAAATGGATGTAAAGATTTGGCAACTTTGCCATTTGACCCTTGAAATAATACCTCAATGCGCCGAAATATAAATTGTTCGTACCGTTTTCAACGTAGTGTTTTTCTTCGCACCAACCACTTATTCGATGGCCTGTGGGTTTTGAACTTTCGAATTAGTTTCAGAATTTATTGTAATATTCTTCAAATGATGTCAATTGCTATATTATGAACTTATTGGGCGTTTTGCCTTCAGTTTTCCTTGTTTTATATGTCCCCTGCTTCTGTTGGATTGTGAAAATGCCTGTATATGAGTTACGAATACTTCAACGAGCTGTTGTTAATGAATTAAGTTATTTTTAATCCATTCAAATTTTCTGTCGTAAAGCTCTGTTTAAATTATCTTCGAATTTGTCTTTCGTTCAGGATCTAGCCGACAATGGTCTACTTTGGATCGTATACTTTTATTATACTCTTCTGCTATGATAATTTAAAAACATTCTTTATTGTTTATTGTTTTCTTCATTTACTTAACCTTTAAGTGTAGTCTTTAATATTATACATGTCATATATGATCATTCTGTTATCCCAGTTAACAATATCTCCAGCGTGGTAATAGTTAAATCTTCACATGGATTATGAGTTTTTATTTTCTTAAGAATCACGACTTAGGCACAACGATCATTAGTTAACCTTTAGTTTTAATGTCACTAAAGAAGTTGCGTTATGTAAAATCATTCAACTTTATAATTTGATCAATTTTTTTATCGGTATATAAGATTCACAAGGCCTTGACTTTTATATGAGAGAGGCTACGCATCTGGAGGACTTCTGTGAATCCCCTCTATGACATAAATCCTTTTATATACCTTTTATCATCAATTCATCGAAATTTGGTACTTATAATCAATTATTATATAATTATAAGCAAAGTAATATTCCAAATGGGCACAAATTTCCGGTGCTTGGACAACAAGTAAAGAAAACGGGGGAGCTTCGTGGAACCATTACCTTTCTATATTTTACACCCATTTTGTTGACCAGATATGGATGTAGATACACTGCCCACCTATAAATTCTATTTTTTGAAGTCAGTAAGACCAATAATCTTCTTCTTCACCTTACACTATGGCCAAGAAGCCCGTGAAGTACTGTGTGGTAATCTTTCGTTTTCTAAGTATTTGGGATTTTAAGGTTGTGAGAATGCCAATTTTGAAATTCGATTTGTTCATTTAAGTTTTAGATGCACACAATTGATCGTTTGATAGCATTTTAAGTCTTGGAATTCGATTTAACTGGTCAATTTGGTTGAGAAGAGTAGTTCAACTTCTTGTTTTGATTATTGTTTTCATATTCAAGGGGTGCAGGATTTTACAATCGGTAACAATATAATTTATTGGGTTTTAAAGTTTGGAAGAATTAAACTAAACAGGTCGATGCATTTACTGACGAGGCATTCAAGGGGAACCCGGCAGCAGTGTGCTTGCTGGAGGAGGAGAGAGATGAAGAGTGGTTACAAGCGGTGGCGCGTGAGTTTAATCTATCTGAGACTTGCTATTTGACTCGGCTCACTGACTCACCTGAGTCTACAAATGACTCGGGCAATGCCCTTTCCATCCCCAGGTTTCATCTTCGCTGGTTCACTCCTGTTGCTGAGGTTTTTTTCTTTTTCTTTTCTTTTTTTCATTGACATTCAATTTCTATGCTATAGTCATATTTCTATTTCTTTTCATGTTTGCAGTCATAATTAACCATTGTCTTCAACACGACAAATGGGTAATGCGGGGTCTTTTGCTGGTTCTGATGCATATTTACCATTTATATAAAACTTGAGCTATTAGAAAAAGGATCACATATATTTACTTAAGCATTGTGTTCGACATGGCCACCGGTAGAACAAGAAATGATCAAATAATGAGCTGAAATTGAATCAGTTCTGGTGATGATGTCAATCTTAATTCTTAATTACACAACTAAGGTTACTGCGTTGAATATTATAAGTTAGTAAATTGGTGCTTCAATCGAATTTTGATTTGAGTGATGATTTCAATCTTAATTCTTAATTACACGACTAAGGTTACTGCGTCAAATATTATAAGTTAGTAAATTGGTGCTTCAATCGAATTTTGATTTGAGATAATTTGATTGATGGAAAGTGCCTAAGCACAAAGCAGAGGAGACACACCTTCTGCTTTGCTTAAGTTCATGCTTTGATGAAGCAGAATAAAAGCCCATGTAAGTGCGCAGGCAATTAGGAAGAACTTTATCAAACTACTGTTTTCGTTCTGGTGTGTAAAGTGGTGCTGGATTTTTAGCTGTTGAAACATAATCAATTGCTGAAATAAATAAAGGGAAATCTTTCACGCAAGTACTTCAAGCATTTAATTCACTTGAAAAACAAAAATTAAAATGAAACCCTGAGGACAACTCAATGATCAGACCTTGAGTTTGCTCTCCAATGGTCACCAGTTCGAATCTCCTCAGGCCACTGAGATGAGTATCTGGCTGTAAACTTCAGGGCCCTGTGGGATTAGTCGAGGTGCGCGTAAACTGGCCCGAGCACCCACGATCATAAAAAAAAAAGATATAATAATAAAAAAATATAAAAAATAAAAAAATGGAAAAATCATTTACTTCACTTCTTTTTTGCTCAAATTATTGTTGAGAAGTTATTTCCTGCAATTTCAAGGAAAGTACTTAAATGTTGGAAATGTTTTAGGTGGACTGCATATTTTTTTATTTCACATTTATTATTAATATCGCTCTCTCAAAGCTTGTCCCTCGAGTGCACTTTGTGCATTTGGTATTGTGGGGCTCAGTTAGTGTTACCAATTTAAATGATGTTAAACTCCATAAAATTCAGGGCTCAAAACTGATTTTGATTTTTCGGCTTGTTTCCATTGTGGATAAAGTAATCTTCATTGGAAGTCAATATTCTAGATGTTTGGCATTCAATATTTTGGTTAAGTACGATAAATACTATTCTCAAAGTTTGAAATCTCTGAAATAATTTTCTTCAAGATTGTTGAAGTTCATAGGAAAAAATGAAGATCTATTGACTCTGCCCATATCTTTGAAACATTATGTTAGGGTCCAATAGTTGTGGGATTCAATCACTCTGAAGCCTGGGCTTTTGGGAGAGATGGTTGGGTCCTCATGAATTAATATCAGAGCAGACTTATGTCATAGGTTCGTATTTGAGATCGTGGGGTATTATTAGAGTCTAATAGTTGTGGGATTCAATCACCCTCAAGCTTGGCTTTTAGGAGAGATGGTTGGGTCCCCATCACATTAACAAAGTGTTCTGTCCCAACTAGAATTCTTTTGTCCCCAAATTATTTTTTCTTCCCCAATTTTCATTGCACTAGATGAAGGATCTGAATTTAAAATTTGAAGTTTCATGGATGGTCAATGTATTTTGAGTGACTAGCATCAATTATTGGTGCTTAATTACTTGGTAATATGTCTCGTATGATTGTAGTATCTGATGAGACCACTCTAAGAATACCAGTTCTTTGCAGGTCAAACTTTGCGGACATGCAACATTAGCAGCATCCCACTTTCTCTTTACTTTTGGTTTGGTGAATGCTGATGTGATCGAGTTCTCAACACTGTCGGGGATATTGACTGCAAAGAGAATACATGACATTAAGGTTTCAGATTCATCCCACTTTCAGAATGGTGATGCGTCTGAGACCTGGCTCATTGAACTAAACTTTCCTGTTGTCCCAATAATGGAATATGATTACGCGACTGATGTTTCAGAAATTTCTAAAAGCTTGAATGGTGCTTCTGTGGTGGAGATCAAGAAGACCTCTACTGACCTCCTTGTGAGCATTTTAATTTACTCTTCCGTTATGGCATATTTGGAAGGTAGACTCATAGTATTAGACAATATTAAGAAAGGAGTAGATGTTAAAATCATGTGAATTGTACGTAGTAAACAAACGATTCCATTGTGGTTATGCAACTTTATATTAAGCATTTGTATGTAACGGAAGACATTAATGATAAGGCAAATGGTGAAGTATATATTATAGGACATTCAATTACCCGAGGAAAGGAAGGCCCAATTTTTTCACTGAAAAGATGAAAAACAAATTGAAGCAAATGACTGATTTTTCTTTTCCTGTTATATGAGATTTATACTTTTTAGATTTTGGCAGGTTGTGCTGCCGTCAGGGAATGCAGTTGCAGAAGTAGAACCACAATTTGACGAGATAAAAAATTGTCCTGGTAGAGGAATTATAATTACAGGACCTGCTCCTGCTGGTTCGGGATTTGACTTCTTTAGTCGCTTTTTCTGCCCAAAACTAGGTATCAATGAGGTAATATGCTGGATTTTCATCAAAAGACTGAACAACTTTAATCTGCCCGCATTTACGTGAATAGTCATACATTATAGACATACTCTAATACTTCACAGCATAAGTCAAGGCATTAAACCATCCTGTGAATATCCATTAGAAAAAATATTTGCCTTTTCATCTTCTTACCATGTTCTAGCTATCCATATCGCATGCTCGAACATTGTGGCATGGAGACGGGAAAAAAAAAGAACATTTATTAAGTGATTTAGTGCATCTTTAAAAAATTTCGAATTATGTTTCTTAGTTTAGACTTCAGTGTGAAGATTGCTTCTGAATTACCTTACTGATTTTTTGCTCCTTCAGTTGGTTTCGAGTTCTATGAAATTTGATTCTCAAACTGGTGGATATGTTGGGAATTGACACCAATTCCTTGATTTATCCACAGTATCCTCTTTCAGAGAAATATTAAGAAGTCAAAAACTAAAATAGATGAAAAAGAATTAGGGACTATCAAAGAGAAAAATATTTCACTATATGAATTATTGTTACAATCATATAGAAATTCTTGCTCACCGAAACCCTTAATTAGTATCGTAAGAAATACATAACCTAGTTTCACCACAATCACAATATTCTGCCCTTAGTACAAACCACAAAGAGAGATTTATTTGAATGCTAGACCTATTTTTTCCATTTTGACACGTACCAAAAAGAAGAGAAAACCAAATAGATATTGGGAATAATTGCTGCATTTTTAACCTATATTTTCCTCCACAGAATTCGGTTGACTCTAGGCAGTCCATGAAAAGGTTCTATTCCAATTTTTTAATAATTCGTGCCATCTTCTTTGCCAATTTTTTTTTTTTAGGAAAAAAAAAAAAAAAAAAAAAAAAAAAAAAAAAAAAGGTGTTTTTTTTTAAAAAATTTTTGTTTGTGCCTT